GTGGAATAATTGTTAATTAAACGCGCGTGTGCTTTGTGATTCTTGAATTACAAGCAAAATAAATATTTCGCCATTTTCATTAACGCTTCAATAAGGGAGGGTGAGATAAATTTCGTTTCGCAAATGAGATGAGATAAGAGGTAAGTTCTGCAGATACTTACTTATGTGGGTCGCAGCGTTAACATATGGTTGTAGAAAAGCTTTACAACGTGCATCCCCTGTAAAGAAAATTAAAATGAAAGAAAGTTAAATATCACGAAAAAAAGCGAAACAATGCATGTAAATCTGATTGTTGAAGTCTAACGGCTTGGGCGCTGAATTCCCGGTCAAGAGGTCTGGGTCATTGTCAAAGTGCCTCTCTCCACCAGGGAGTATAAGTGGGTTACTGGTGAGTTGCCAAAAGAGACTGATGTAATGCAAGGGGGATATAAGCCTGTGCTGGGATAGCATCCCATGGTGGGGGAGGGGGAAGGGGAGGGGGTAGAAATAGTCCTGATCACTTCATGTCACGGAATCGGGATGAGTCGAGCGAGGGCCCACTGACTTTATTTGCTGACTGTACCTTATTGCTATAGAAGAAGGTGGAAGGGATCACGATCAGGTGGAAAAATGTGAACAGCAACATCATCAAAGAGTAAAATCAAAAGTTTGTGTTGCCTTTCTTTTTTTGGGGGGGGGGGAGGGAAAGAGGAATTTCTCGCAAAACAATGACTGAAAGTTAAGTTATAACAACCAAGATTGTAAATGGAAACGACTAAACACAATTGACCAATAACAAAGGAAAACAGCCTTGACAGTAAAAGTAACAAAATAATGAATACAATAAAAAAAAAAACAAAAAAAACATCGCAATAGGTGGAATGATAGAGTTTTATAGTTCGTCCTACGATGTAGTCACTTCTGATAGGCATAGCTACGAGTCTTCTTTAGAAAACTAGGTCGACAGGCCACACGTCATCGTCTATTGGTTGGTTTGTGACAGAAATGAATAAATCGTGAGAAAAACGATACTTTCTTGTTTTGATTATATTTTTCTGCGGAAAATCACCATTTCAAGAGCTGAGATCAGAGTTAAGATGCAATTTCTTTTTTCCCCAATTTGTTCGAGGCTAAGAGGGTTCTCTCAGTTTTAGGAACACTCAACACAACATACATGGTTGGAAGAAGTCCACGACCAATAAATCATTTTCTTTTTTGATGACATCAAACGTTTTGTCAGTCAATGCAGGCACCAAGCTCTCTGGTACAACGGTGGGTTTTGCCTTCAAAACTGCTGCCGAGACTTCATCGTCTTCTGTCTCTTCCTCTGAAATACAGTTAAAAGAGGGGAAAATTGAAAACAAAATGAGTGGAATAATCCAAAGGACCAAGGAAAGAAGAAAGGAAGGCTCGAGGAGACGAAGGGACGAAGGGACGAAGGGAAGAAGATACAAAGGGACTCAGGGACGAAGCGACGAAGAGACGAGTGACGAAGGGACGAAAGGAAAAAGAGGAGAAGAAAGGACGAAAAGTCGGGCTGAAGAACGGAAGTATTGGCGAATTATTTCTTGGACACTTCGTGCTACACAAGCTGGTCTAAACCTCACTTTGCGTCCATAAGACACGTTATTTCACGAAAGGAAAAACATTTTCTCTTTTCAAAAGGTATCAGTACTAGCATCATACCTGGTAAATCAGCTTCATCCACAGATTCTTCACCGCTTTCAGAAGTCTCCCCTTCACTTTCTTCCTCGTCTTCTAGTTCTTCAATATATTCTTCGCTGTCTTCTTTTTCCTCGTTGGTATACGGAAATAAAATCGGTGCCTCATCTGACAAGCTTGGAGGCAGTGAAACAGGCCTCTTGATCCTTAGAAAATCAGTGATTCATATCAATTCGGGATGTTTCAAACAACAGTTCAATTACGTATGATGCACGATCCTTCGCAGTAGATAGCGCTATTTATGCAATAGCGAAAATCACACCTGAAAAAATCAGGCCGGTACGGCATTCGAACCACTGACCTCTGCGATACTAGTGCACCGCTCTACCAATTGAGCTAACGAGCCATCTGGGAGCAGGCCGTTAAGTTGATTCGTAATAAACCCGTGATGATAAATCAGATACAATGAATATATGAAGTTCATATATTTTGAACTGCGGTATTAAATACGTATGATGCACGATCCTTCGCAGTAGCTATTTATGTACAGGCCTGATTTTTTTCAGGTCTGATTTTCGCTATTGCATAAATAGCGCTATCTACTGCGAAGGATCGTGCATCATACGTATTTAACACCGCAGTTCAAAATATATGAACTTCATATATTTATTGTAACAGTTCAATTAACCACCATTAAGGGGAGCCCCAAATGTTTTGCTTCAATTTGAAAAACAAAACAAAGCAAAAGCAAAGGGGAAACAACGACTTCGCCTCGGGGAAACTTAAATCCTTTACTTGATTTCTCTGAGTTTCCCTATGTGGCTGAAATGATGAAAATAGCCTATTACGAGTGTGTTTGTGTTTACTTTGTATTGTCGGTTATAAATTCCATCATTGCTTCGTATTCGAGTTCACTTGTGTACTGAACGAAATCGTCACTGGACTTGGTCAAATGCAGATGGACAACTGGAAACTTTTCACCCTCCTGAAAAATGACAGAAAGGAACAAATGATAAGTTTTCAAAATATTAACTCTTGCAATAATTTACTCTTATCAAGGTTAAGTTCTGCTGATAAATTGTTCTTCAACGCGGCATGACACTTCTCTCAATAAAATCACTTAAATCCAAAACTACACTTGCACTCATACAATAATATTAACACTTTTAGATGCTTAAGACAATGGCGCACTTTTTTTTAACTGATCGTAGAAAGTCATCCGTAATTACAATCGTATTGTTTTTCTTCGCCCTGTGATTGGTTTAGAAAACTCACGCCATCCTCTCACCAATAAGACGCAAATCTGTGATCGATCAAGACTTGGTGACCCGCGTTTTCCGGCGCTTGAAACAGTTAAGATGTATTTGCATTAAGTTTTCATCGGCGCCTTGTAATTCTCTGTTTACAAATAAATCGTTTGTGACAAATTTAGTTTGGTTCTCCGACTGCCGATCGATATTCTGTCTACTGTAAATAAAACTTTCATATTATATTCAGCTGCCTAAATCTCAAGAGACGAATAAATCGTGCCGAAGTCTTGTTGGCAGACGAGTAACAAAGAGTTCGTGACGTTTTCAAAACTTATTTCAAAGAACAATCGCTTACTAACTCCAAAAACTCACAAATGTCTTTTTACGCTGCGAAGTCTTGACATATGCAAAGGTGATTCTTCCCTCTCCACCCCTATCAAAAGTGCGAACGATACGTCGTAATGTTTTGGAAAATTCCTCACAGGGTTCGTGATCTGCGAAAAAGAAAAAACAATAACAAAAAAAAAAACAAAAAATAATTTAACAAAGTTGACTCTATTGTTATACGCACGCCAAATACTAGGAAAAGGGGCGAGGGGAGGTTGCCATTTGCAGGGAATAGGTATGTGACGTATTCAGAAGAGATTTTAGAAAAAATTTGTTACCCCTGAGTAAAAGCGGGTGAAGTTGCTTTGGGCTCTTAGCAAAAAGTCAATGCATTCACTCTGAGCTAAATTGTGGTTACGAGATATTTGAACAATGTGTTGCATACTGTTAGTACGTAAGAAGGGCAGAGATTTTCAGGGAAGGCAAAAGTAGTATGTATAAAGTCAAGAATTTGAAGCTAAGTTGGAGCATCTCGCGGGGCGCAGGCGAAAAAAAAAACAGACGTCTTTCTAACGTATTCAAGCGAGCAAAAGCACAAACGAAGCAAGCGAGATATGAAAATTTCGCGCGGGGGAATGGCGCGTGACTCTTCTCGCTCTCCTTACGTTCGCCTCGCGCTTGCCTGAAAAAAGTCTGAAAAATGACGACAATTGTGTGTGCTGGTCAGAAGTACATGCAGACTCGAACTTAAGAATAGTACACTTGTGTATGTCAATCTCAGTAATTAGTTACCTTCTTGGCAGAAAACCACCATCAAAAAGTCCAGCGCTAAGAGGTAGTTCGTATCCAAGCTTTTCATGGCGTCTTTGTAGCTTGCGTATGTAAGCTTCTGAAGAGAAGAGGCCTCGGCTAAATAAATCGATAAATGGAAAAATCGATGAGCCAATGAATCAATATATCGATTTAAAACAGTATATCAATTTTCATTAGTGTCAAAAGTATTCCAGGATTGCTTTTGTTTTGATTCAGTTTCTGTGATTGGTCAAGTGACCTAACGTCGCTCTTTCAACCAATAAGATGCAACTGTAAAATCAACCTCGATTTGGTTGTCCAAGTTTCCCGTGCTAAAGGCCGATCACGTGAATCTACTTTGAGTTCTGATTGGTTTCCTCTGAGTTTGACCTAATTGGCCCTTACTATCACACAGTACTGTGGCTTCTGTTCGATTTTCAACAAACTTATTTGATATGCACTACAAGATATAGTCAGAGCAGTTGAGTATAAGAGTTCACCTCCCTTGTCTTTCTGTACCTTTGCAAGGCACTCCGTAAGCAAAAAATAAATAATTGGGCTAGTAATATACGGCAGACGTCATCTGCTTTCCTTAATTTGGCTGAAAGCTTTCCTCAGCAGACAACGCAATGCGTTGAAATTAAAATCTTTTCTATTCACCCGAAACAGCCAGATTCGAGATTTTGGTTAAGACTCATTAATAAACTACCGTGGGCCTTTTGTACGCCTTGATATAATGTTCCTGTTTCATTTTTAATCTTAAGTAGAATTAACTACTTTGAAAATAGGTTACTAAATCAAAATTGTTCCATCAGTTCTTACCAATCCTTTTGTGCTCAGCGGAAGGATTGTCTATCAAAGGTTTGACGAAATGTTTCAGATTGTGTGGAGTAAATGCTGCGATATTTTCAGGGAACAATTCAATGTATGTCTAAAGGATTCAAAGGGAAAAAAGGAGACATGGTCAGTGAGGGAAGATAAGTTCATCAAAGGAAAGAAGGATACAAAAATATACGATACAGAAATTGTATGCAAGGATACACTTCTCTAAGTGAAACAAGAGTAGGGGGGAAAAAACAACATGCAAACAAACAAACCAATATTGATAGTTTTAAAAGTAGTGTTGTGTTGAGAACCAAGCCATTAGTAGTTGAAAAAAAATAACGGAGTTTCTTTTTTACCCTTCCGCCTACAGGCCTTCTTCTTAAGACTTCCACTTACAGTTATCAAAATGAGTCTACCTTCAAAAACTTCACCTACAGAACAATCCCGGCCTCCTCCTTGGCATTAGTAGCGTTGGAGCGGGCCCGAGCCTGGGCACCAGCTTTTCTTCGCCCACAGAAAAGTATGAGGCGTTGAACAACGCGAGTCGGCGAGTGGTCTGCAAGGGCGTCTGGTACTGATTATTAATCCTAGACTCCGGTAGACCACTCCCCGACTCGTCTCAATCTTCCCGCGGGCGGAGAAACACGAGTCCTGCGGTACGAATTATCTAAAAGTAAATGTAAGTACCATGTTGACACCACCTCCTTTAGGTGCCACAAAAGCTGCTGTTGGAAAATTGTTGTCTTGTGACAAACCAAACGACGCTAACATGTCTTTTTGGTCGTTTCTATAAAGAGAGGAATTTTTTTATAGGATCAATACTTTGCAGCGAAATTTTTCAAACTGGTATTAAATGACAATTATTGTGTCATTCTCTCTCTCAGAGCCCCCGTCTCCTCCCCCAGTGGTCGATCCGCTGGACAAGCGTCAATGAGGGCTCTCAGCGCACAACACTAACTTTTCAAATGAGTAGTCAAGTGGCTAGTGACAACTTAGATGTTACAACAATTTCAGCTTGTTTACTCACTAAACTGACCAGGGGAAATCGAAAACCCCCAGCCAAAACTGAAATTCTACTAGTCTGTGGCTAGTTGGTTACCATTAGTGGCGAGCCCTGCCTCTGGGAATGTGATGGAAATAAAGAAAAATTTCAATTTAGGGGATTATTAGTTGATCCAATATCACACTCTCCCAACTAACCTCAGACAAATAGTCCTTTTCACAGTTGTGGGCTTGGTGGCCAAGCCTTTGAACAGGAGTGAGGGTAAGGGTGACCTTGTTATGATAGAGATGTTGCTGCTTTTCAAATGCAAATTTCTTTGTTATCATGCTATCTAGAGACAGGTCTCTATCACAAGAAGGGTCACCCATAGCCTCCTCTTGTTTAAAGGCTTGGCCACCAAGCCCACAACTGTAAAACGGACTATTGTATGGCAGACAATAAGGAGAACTACTAGCATGATCTTGGAAGGGAACAGGTTAAGACTGGGGCTAGTTACATAATTTAAAACAGTAAAAGAGTTGCTGTATCTGAGCAACTACATACCTACCCCCCCTTCCCCCCTGAACCAACATTAATCAACTTGTCATCGGTTGAATGCTTTTGGGCTAGGGGAGGGGTTGGGTAAGCAGTTGCTCAAATATTGACATCAAGCCAAGAAAACTCACACATCAACAATTATCATCCCAATGGCTCCTTGAAAGTCTACAGCCATCTGTTCTATCTCTTTTGTGTCAAGTTCAGCAAGTTTATCCGTGAAAATAAACAATTTGTTGACAGGAGGCAACAAGGTGTCAAACACTGTTGTTCTGTTACTTGGAAGAATCACCTGTAAGAGGCATAAAAACGGTGAAGTCAGCTTACAAGGTAAGGATGGCTTATTCTCTGAAGATTGTACCAGTTTCAGCAGTATAAAGCAACAGAGAGTGTTACTACCTCACTGCCCCCCCTGGTGGCAGTTTACTGCAAGGTCACCCCCCTGGCATTTCTTACAAAAGCAAGGGACACATTAAAATGAACCAGCAAAGACTCAGATTGAGAGGTTTTGATCTGGACTCCAGGACTGACAACTCAGTCACTGTGCATCCCAATTATTTTACACCTTGATACTGGTCGATAATGCGCAGTTTAGGTTTGAATTTCTCCCCAGGACCTAACCATATGCATGATCAAACAGAGAAAAATATACCAACTCTCTTTTTCTTGCTTTTGGCATGGAACTCCATTCACAAAATATCTCCCCAAAAAAGCAAATTTGAATTTATTTTTTTTTGCAAAAGCCTTTATATATACAAGGCACACATGTAAAAAAAAAAAAAAGGCAAACTTGTTGTTGCAATTGAAAAGGTGTGAAATGAAGAATTGGTAATATAAAAATATTTCTTGCTGCAACATAATTTTGTCACAGCAATCAGCAGACACAAATTCAAACATGGTTGAAAAGAGAGGATATCTAGAAAATTTTACTTCAAGTCCATTAACATTGTTAGGGTTATCTGTTCCATGGATAGTTGTATAATTTTTTTGGTTTTAGCCTACAAGAAAATATGTTGATGAATTCATTTCAAGGGAAAAAACAGAGACAATTTGGCAGGGAAAGACATTTTGGGGTGCGGATGTGATCTAAATTCAAAATCTCCAGACTGCAGATTTTCAGAGGCAGGCATCACCTTAAAAAAATTCTTGATTAAAAATGTACTCACATAGTTTGGAAGGTTTTGGCTCCTAAGGAATCTTATCAATGGAATTTTTTCAACTTTTCCAGTAAACTTGGTGGACGGGCATTTGTCTTGAGTATTTGTAGTTTGTTTACAGTGAAAAAGATGTACAGCTGCCTTTTGGTTTGTAGATAGGCTGTTTGTAAAAAAACAAAATAAGTGAGATCAGTTACTTGCAAATAATAATTAAAGGCAATGATAAAGACCCTAAATTTTCTCCTCGCAGTAGTGTCACTGAATCATTAATTAAGATCACCAAAATAAAGAAAATGGCAGGGATTGTACCCTTTTTCAGAAACAAATTCCTTGGACTTTTTTCAGGATTAATGGATTGATTTTCCTAGGACTCTAAGATTTCAAAATAAATCATTCTTACAGTTTCCCTACATTTCTTATAACAAAAATTTTACTGCTTGAGCAAGCAGACTTCCAAGACTTTCTAGGACGTGTAGTCTTTTTCTATGACTGGAAAGTCATGGAAAAATTAATGTCAAAATAAAATTCAAGGATTTTCCAGGTCTTCCAGGACTTATACAAACCCTAAAATAAAGGCCAACCCAGGAAGCTTTGATTATTAGAGAAAATCTCCTTGTCAGTACCAAAGGACATGTAAAGAGAACAGTATTGAGAAAATGGATACTGATGTTTGGGTGTAAATGTTGACATAAATTGTCACTGACCGCAAAAAAAAAAAAAAATGGTCAGCTCATTCCACCTGACTAGAGGATTGACTACAAGACATTCAACTAGAAATAATTTCAGAACAAGTTCAGATTCATGAGCTCTTTATATGAAGTTCTCTATTTGCTTCCTTTAGACACACCTCAATGATTTATCTGAGCTACTGGAACTACTTTCTCAACATTTTGACAAATCAGTACAAAGTAGAGTAAGATGTACTTCAGAATTAGCAATGTGACTCTCTTCTGATCTAGGACCTGCACAACAGCACAATTAAACCAAACAGCCCAAAAAAAAATTTTTAAAGCAACGAGACATGTCTCATCCAACTAATTCCTCCTCACTCACCCAATTTTCTTCATAAATTCCACATCTGTTGTGATACCAAAGTGGGCCTCATTTTTTGAGTAATGCACTAATTCAAGGAAGTGTCGATGCTCTTTGTAAAGAGAAAAGAAATAAATTTTGAAGCAATGTGCTTACTCAAACTATAAATAAATGATAATAGTAATAACACACTAATATTCCAAGTTGCAAAAACATACTTCTGAATCATGGCTTGTATAATGCCATGTGTCGTCTTAACCAAAAGACAGACTCATCAGAAACCTATCAGCCACAAAGTCCGTGCATCTTTTTCCCAGTATTTGTGGAATGACAATTTTCATTAATTTGTATAAATTGTAATTTGTGAACATGCATGCCTGGAGAATCTTTCTCCAAGAGAGCATCAGACTATAAAAATCTTAAATTTGCAAACATAAGTTTGGGCACAATGGTCAACCAGTTTTCTTGAAAATTCTGCGAGACAGTAAAGAGTATTTTGGTGGAAATGAAACCTATTTTTTCACAAGTAATCCAACCCTTTTAGATCATCCAAAAATCTCTCTAGATATGGAAGGAATCCTACAGCTCCAGTATAGTTTGTATATACTACGTAGATCTTAATATTAAAAATTTCAGATCTCAAAGACCACTGTTATTATGATGGTAACTTAAGTTTGTGAATTTCTTTCAATTTTGGATAATAAATCTGGAGCCATTTGTGAGTCTTCTCACTGCTAAGAGAGATTAGTTGTTCATGACCGAGCTAGTCAAAAGGAAAATGGAGGTAGTGGGGGACTTGATTGGACAAGAAGCAAATTGAGTTTTCATATTTTCAGAAGCTAGCCACTCTGTAACCAGGAAACAAGTCTAAAGAATATGTAGACAAATGATTGTCAGCTGGTGAAAAAAATTTGCATCAGCAAAAAAAAGAGAAAATTTGATGAATCAGATTTTGAAAGTGCAAAATATTTACTCATAGCAGTGACAGAATCTAGAGGCAAGTCTGTTTTAGATAGCAACCCAAAGTGGTATATGGGTTTCAAGACTTCCAGGTGTTGCCCAAGGGTTTTAATAAACATTATGTAAGTATTTACTTCTGTTAGGCTAGGTTTCAATTCCAATTCTTCTTTACTCAAATATTGACAACAGATTGTCCTACAAAAAATGTAAGTTCCTAACATTCCCGCCTGTAAGACAACACATCTTGACAACTGGAGCAAGGGCGTTTAATTTACAAGTAATTGTGAGGGGGGTGTTAAGGCAGGTGTGGGGTGTGAAAACAAACGCGCATTACCTTTCATTCCAAGTCCTCTGACATAACAGAGGACAACGTCTTTCTCTCCCTGACCTTCAGCAAGAACTGCATTCAATGAATTCTCATCAGGAACGTAATGGTAGAAATCATTTAACACAAACCTGAAATAACGACATGAAAAGAAACAAAAAAAAAATTGATTCACCCTTTAGACTGACCAGCATGTTATTTTTTCTTAAAATACAACACATGGATCAAACATCAAGGTCATAAAAATAAAAAAAAAAATGACCACCAACTAATAAAGAAGCCCTTGATTGTGAAACAAATTCTCCTTGAAAACACCTTCTGAAATGTGTAGAAAACAGTATGGAGAATATGTATTTTGAAGTTTGAATGTTATCAGTTAAGGGATAAACTACTGGTTCTCTGGTTTAAATCTGGGCTCTTTATCAACCACATAAAAAATACAGTCAGAAAGATGAGTGAAAACAAAGTATACCAGTACTTCACTCTTCCCTGGATAGAAATATACAAGTGTAGAATGTACTTGGCAGATTATAAGCAATACTGATGCTTGTTTCAAACAACTAGAGGTTTTTCATAAAAAAAGAAAAAAAAAAAAATTCAATGGAATGCTTTTATTGTGATCTTAACCCTTTCTTACCCAAGATCTTGATACAAATTATCCCAACTGTCTGCCATACTTTTCATATCATTCTAACTACGAGAATTTGATGCAAACTCAGACAAGACTTCTTTGAGATATGTTTTGATCTTCTCATCACCCTTTCTGCTTGACAGTGCAAAGATGATGTAAGGAGAAATTGCAATTTGATCATTGGAGAGAATAAAAGGGTCAGAAGCCCACATCTTTGAAAGTCTTTTAATAAGCAAAAATAAAACAGGAGAAGTAATAGCTGGGTGTTTGTTATAAAGTCAGTAATTTTCTCAAATATCTCAATAAACAGGGCAGTACTATCTGTATGTGTGAATTTACGGAAATCAATTGAATGTATTTGTAAATGGCTATTACATAATTTCAATTTTTCGGTATTGAAAACTGCTAAAATGAGCAAAAATACATAACACCCTTAGGATGACAAATTCTTACCTGCAGCATTAAAGGCTGGCAATAATTTCTACTAGTATTTTTTTTCTTTTTTCCAAGAAATAAAAATCACACGAAAATAACATAAAAACCAATATATGGGCAAAATCTTTACATGAGCAAAAACCACCTGCGAGGAAGGGATTACAATAAATAAGCAAAGACCTGCGATTGTTATGAAAAATGCAAATCGGAACATACAAAGTTTGGCAATTAAACAAAAGCGAAATTTAACGCGGTTTATGACCATGAATTTTCCACATCAATAAATTCTGCTACTTTTAAATTTATTCAAGCCGCAAGGAGATAAGGATGTATTGATAATATCGAATTTAGAACCATCCACGTGTACTTTAACTCACAGTCATAATCTCTCCGGCAAGCTTTTTTGATAAGACTTACTGTAAAAGGTTGGCCACGATCGAGTCTTCGTTGAACAAGTGGCTAACATCGATTTCTTCTGAAGGGTTAGGATCGCCCTTCCTGTTGAAATCAATGAAATAAATTTCAAGTTAAAAAGTTAAAAGGTATCTCTATAACTTCATTTTAAAACAATACGCGTTAATGAGTTGCATTTCTTTGTAAGTATTACCTGTACACGTAAATGTTTCGTTCCTTATTAGAACATTGTGGAATGGACTGTTCAGCACAATTTACCTGCAATTCGATAGTAAATAGCATTCGTTTGGGATAATTTCGTCTTTGTTTTAATCTGGGGGGAAGTAATCGGAAGCAACTCTAATTTTGTAAAATATTGATAAAATCGATCCAGCAGCGGTTCCGTTTTACAAGCAACATACAGTCTTTACCTTGCCTAATTCAACTCCAAATGACTCTAAAATGTCTGATGATTTGTCAAATTCTTTGGTAAACTTTGGATGCGCCTGTCTGATTGCTAAAACAAAATATAAAACAGTCCATGAATAACTGCATATTACGAAAACAAGAAACAAATAAACTAAGTATTAATATTCCCCTGAAAGGCAAGAAAGCTTTAGTACGCATAAAGGGAGATTTCATACATAATTTATCGAAGAAAACAGCAATGAAATCTTGATTCGTAGATTCCCCGATGTTTTTCAAGTCCTCTGAGCTTAGTTCTCTGACAGCGTTGACTCCAAATACAGCTACATAAATACAGCAAACTAGCAAAATTGGATACGGATTCCCCAACGCCATCTTTCTTTGGAGCTAAAACGACTTCTGTAAAAACTTAACAATTTATTTGACACGTCTGCCCTCCGGAAGTCTTTTCTTGTTTATGTATCACGTTCCAGTCTCAGTTTATGCTCCGTTGCTGTTAGTCTCGACCAATAACGGGAAGACTCGTATCTCTTCTAAAGGCGAATGTGCTCTCTAGCCTCAGCGCCAATATGAACCGAAGTGAGGTCTGTCTATTTTTAAGTGTCGTCTCGATATTTTCTAGAAATCTGTTTCTTCCAAGGCAGGTGGCCTTTTGAATGGAACAGAATTGTCTCACAACACGATTGTTCACGTAATGAGGAAGAAATCTGCATTTTACGTAGTCTCCCTCGCAGCCGTT